CCGGCTCGCGCGGCTCGCGGCTCGTCCCGACGCGCCGGGCGCCCGACAGCTGGCGCAGCCACTTCTCGAACAGGCCGCCGCAGGTGAGCCCGCTCACCACGAAGTCCGTCCACTCCAGCAGCGGGCTGTGCCGCGCCAGGTACAGCACGGGGAACTGCGTGGACACGGAGTACGGGATGGGCTCGAGCAGCGGCCGGCCGTCCCGCGTGTAGCGCGACGGCAGCAGGTAGTCCACGTACGACTGGTCGGTGGCGACGGCGGCGTCTCCGCGGAAGGCCGCGCGGTCCAGGCACGGCAGCATGTCGTCGCACGGCACCGCACGCTCCACGATCACCTGCCGCCAGCGACACCTCACGACACATCTTAAGCAAATCTACTAGATCCCTCTATGGCAGTGCCCAAATCGTTTAACACAACAATTGTAAATCTTCAGTTTTAATTTATAGGTTTGTTTTTTATTTAATTTAAAAAACATATTGAAGCAAAGATTGGCAATTGACATATTGAAGAAAATATGATACATTTCAAACTTCCCGCCGCGGAGATTGACTCTAATTTTGATAAAAAAAAAACCACGCGAATTCTTTCGCAGTTGACTCATTTCTTTCGTACAAAATTCTTTGTCATCGATTGTCAACTGCTTCCTGTTAGTTCGGAGCGTCACCAAAAAATCACATCAGCTCCTGGGCGGCCGTGACGAACTATGTACTCATTGTCAGATTTCACGGAATCCTTCTCTTTCTTCTTTAGACGCAGCGGGTTCGCATTGTCATGAAAATCAGAAGAGCCGCGAGCAATTTCGTGACCATCGTGCACAGAAGTTAAGTGAAATGTGTTGGGCGCATTCAAAGTTCGACTCAGGGCGCTGCCAGGCGATTTCCAGCTCCTTTCTGCAGTCTAACGTACAGTAAACGTGAAATTCGTAACGAAAACGTTTAATTTCATTTGGACTGAGGTACCCATGACAATCTCATCAATCATATTCATTGATTCTTTCGACAAAGTAACAAACAATCTTTGTCAATTATATATCGTTTCTTTTCCATAACACTCTCGTCTGATGAGAAATTTCGATAGGAAGGCGATCAATTATTGAAGTTTCAGTTAATTCTCTCCCAATTTATCTAAGCAATATTTCGCAGCCAGTCTTTAAAAACATCAACTGTCTTTAAATACATTACATAATTCTCATAATAGCGTAAATCATGTAACGAAATTCTGTGCTCAATGCACCAAAGACATTCTTAGAAACTATGTCATTTGTGGTATTTCATTCATATCCACTGCTGAACAGGAGACCTCTGCAAAACTATTTACGTTACTCACTATGTTTACGGCATAGTAAAGCTCTTCATGCTGCCTTTGTCCTATTTCTTTGTGCCAGGTCTTTAGAAAACGTAACGTAAACTTAAGTTTTTGGTTGTAGCTTTGAAACACGCCCTTGATATACTAGGGAGCAACCTGCACAATGTCTGCTCCCGTGGGCATTCTGCACTCAACTGGAGGTCTGCCCGTGAGAGCGGTACATGTGCGGCGTAGGGAGCTTTGTGA